CCTCCTCCTCCTCCTCCTCGCTCCTCCTCCTCCTCCTCCTCGCTCCCGGCCCCGCGGGCCGAGAGAGGCGCGAGCGGCGCAGTCGCCCCAGCGCCACCCGGGGGGCCCAGCAGAGCGGGCCGGAGCGGAGAGGGCAGGGGAAGGCGGGAAAGAGGGCTGCGAGGAGTGCGCTCCGAGTCCGCTTCCATCTCCGAGCGGCCCAGCACGCGCAGGGCCCCAGGGGGTAGTCCTTTTCCTGCTCCTCCTCCTCCTCCTCCTCCTTTTCCTCCTCCTCCTCCTCCTCCTCCTCCTCCTCCTCCTCCTCCTCCTCCTCCTCCTCCTCCTCCCCCTCCTGGTCGTCGTCGATGTCTTCCAGGGTCGGCGGCACCGGCCGTCAGGCCTTCACAATACGCTCCGAGTTCGACCTCACATCTGAGCGGCCTAGCACACTCACTGACACCGCGCATTCCCGATTGACCAACAACAAGAGGCCGATCGCGCAAGCCCAGGCAGTTTGAGGGCCGAAGCAACAGAACGCAGCGAATTCGGATCGAGATAGATCGGGGACCTCTGACATCTGGCGGTTCTGGAGAATGTATCAGGTGCCGCGGCACTGTTCCTGGGCCTGCCCGGCACTGTTCCAGAATGCATCAGGCGTTCAAGGCTCTGGAGCGCTGTATCCAGTTGTCGGGCCTGCCTGGCACTCAGAGAGCCTAAACCCAAAGCTGCACCAGCTCCAAGTAATTAGACATCAAGACTTGGCAGCTTGGGTTCTCGGCCAGTGGGGCTGATCCGTCGCCCCCATTGTCCTTTCACCCCTCCCGCCTCCTCCCCCCCTTCCCCCTCCCCCCCTTCCCCCTCCCCCCCTCCTGCCATGGCTCCCGCCGCCTCCTCCCCCATTCCCCTCTTCACCCCTCCTGCCATGGCCCCGGTTATGTGATGCTCTGCGGTCAGAAGGTGGAATTCCGGACGCCAGGGTGAACTTTCGCGCTCCCCAGATGTTCTCGGGACGACGCCCGAACTTGCCCTCAAATGGGCCTGGAGGGTCCTTGGCTGCTCGTGTGTTCCTCCTCGGCCGTCCACCTCTGCGCTTCTCTTCCTTCCCTTCCTTCCCTTGTTGTTTTCCTCTCCCCCTTCTTTCTCTCTTTCTCTCTCCTTCTCTTTTTCTCTCTCTCTCTCTCCTCCCGCTAGTTCCTCCTTCCGCTCTCCCTCCTTCTCCGCCCCCCTTCTCACCGTACAACCTACTAGTCGCCCCGCCATTGCATCTCTCTCTCTCTCTCTCTCTCTCTCTCTCTGTGTCTCCCATCATCCCGCTAATTCCTCCTTCTCTCTCATTCTCCCATCCTCCCGCTAATTCCTCCTTCCGCTCTCCCTTCTCATCCTCCCTCCTCCTACCCCTCCCTTCTCGCCCCCCCCCCCCCCGCACCCCCTGCATTCCTGCCGATGAGTATTATCATCAGGATTTCGGAGCAGGCCCACCTATGGCGACGATGGGGCCCCACAGAGGCCCAGAAGAGGAGGAGAAGGAGGAGGAGTGCGACTTGTCTTTGCTGACTTGCGTTCCATTGTTTCTTTCTCCGGCCCCCCCGCGCACACCACCATCCCCTTCTGCTTCTCGTTTCCACCGCTGCGCCCACACTTTGAGATAACTTGACGCCGTCAGTCAGGCGGGCGTGCAACATTCCGTGGTGTTAGCGAGGAGCGAGGAAGAGGAGGAAGAGGAAGACGGACTCACCTTCCTCCTCGGCGACCCTGTCGCCTTCGTCTGCCTTGAGCGGGTGGCGTCCTTCACGCAGTGGGAGCTGGCGTCGGCAAAACTGGCGGCCGTCGTACACTCCTGGGTGGGGGCCGAAGCGATTAAGTCCCGGTAGCATGCGCTAGGGAAAGGATTGTCGTCCACGCCGTCGTGGTTGTTGTCGTCCTCACTCGTCGTCGTCGTCGTCCTCACTCGTCGTCTTCTTCCTCCTCCTCCACCTTTCCATCCTTTCTCCTTTTCTTTCTCCCCCCTCATCTCCCCTCCCCGCGCATCCTGGGTGAGGAGAAGGAGAAAGAACATGAGGAGGAAGAGGAGGAGGAGGCGCAGGAGGATGACCACGACGACGACGACGACGACGAGCACGACGGCGACGACGATGACGACTACGACGGCGATATGACGTGACGAGGGCATCTCCCATCCTGGTCCAACCCACTGCCGAGGAGTCGGCCGTCGAGGAGGAATGTCAGATGCCCCACGGATAGCCGAGTATATGACACATGCGGTCACACTTCTCATGTGCACTTGGAAGCATGGTCAATTCCTCTTTTGAAAGCCTCCGCCTCCTCGAGGTTCAATAAGGAACCAACGATCAAAATTCTTGGGCATCTGTGAAACTTTTGAGTCTAAGGAAACTTCCAAATGGTCCCGTGACCTCTGGAAGCCATTGAGCATCCCTAGGGATTGACAAGAAGAGTCGACAGACCGAGCCAAGCTTTATGAGGTTTGCCATGCCCTGGTGAGACATATCGAGGCTGAACGAGGAGGGAAGAACACGGGCAGCATCTGTTGCAGAGGTGACAAATTCTCGTCGCGATGCCCTCGGCGCTGATCTCTGGTACCGCCTGGGTCGCTCAACCTTGAAAGATCGCTGCTTTTCGCCTGCGCAAGTCGTGCGATATCGGCCCGTTCAGGTTCGCTGCCAGCGTTAAGTCGGGCCTGTCCCCCTACAGGGGGATTTCCGACGAAAAATTACAAACACCCCAAAAAGAATCCAAAAATAATCTGAGGACTATTTTTCTAGTATTTTTTTGACCTTCTTGGGGTATTTTGGGTTTTTTTGATGTTCGTCGAACATCCCCCTTAGGGGGACAGGCCCGACTTAGTGCCAGAGTTCCACCTTGAACGGCCGGCGTCAGGGCCGCCGCGCGCCGGAGCGGCGCGAGCCCACCCGGACGCAGGGCCACCCCGGAGAGCAGGCGGCTCCACAGGACGTTTTTGCTGGGCCGCCGCGGCCCTCCCACAGCGCGCTCCGGCACGCGCGCTGCAGGAGGCTCTCTTTGAAGGGGCCCCAGGACACAAATACACAAATAACCCCATATTTTCATATATTTTCTGGGTTTTTGTCTTCCCCCCCACTTCCCATATTTTCCCATATTTCCTTGGAATCGACGATTAATTGTGTCTGTGTGTTTTTTCCCCTCCTGACTCTTTCCCTCGCGCGCGCCCGCTGCGCACGTCGCCCCGGAAGCGCGCCCCGAAGGCGCGCCCGCAGCGCCGGGGGCCGCGGGGCCTCAAGCGAAGAGGGGCTCCTGCAGACCCAGACCCCCTCGAGTTCTGAACAAATCACGACGGAAGGTTTTTCATCATTTTTGGCCTCTGGAGGCCCTTACTGGGCCTCGGGACCGTCAAACAACGACTCAGGACGAAAAACCGCTCCCGGGGAATGGGTCCAGACTGCGGGGGGTCGACGTCATGAAAAGCTCATGACGTCGGGGGTCTGGGGAGGCTGCGGCCCCGGGGCGGGCCCAGGCCCGGGCAGCGCCCTCCACACGAGGGGGCGGTAGCTCGCAGCGCATGCCCCGCCCGAGCCCGGGGACATCAGCACGCTCGCGATGGTGCTGTTGCGGAAGACCGCGCCGTCGTCGGGGCCGGCGTTGCCCGCCGGGTACTCCGTGGCGTCCTGGAGCACACCGAGGACCTGCTCCGGCGTCGCGCTCGGCCCCAGGGCCCGCATCAGCCCGCGCACGTGCTCGCGCCGGTGCGACGAATACGCCCCCTGGGACATGGGTACCCAATGGTCCGCGTTTGTCTGCACGAGGAACCAGCCGTCCGCCTCCGCCGGGCCTGGCATGGGCATGACGTCCGCGCTGCTGCCGTTGCCCTCCAGCGTGACAACGGCCCCGCCCTCGCGGGGGTCGGCGGCCCCGAGGATGACGTACATGCTGGTGAGCGGCCTCGAGGCGGCCGCCACCCCGACCGCCTGGCCGAAGCTCTCCGCCCGCATCACCCGGCGGAGCACCTCGACCCTGGGCAGGTGGCCCTGGCGCAATAACCGTAGCTCCTCCGCCGCGGTGCGGCCTCGCTCGTGCCCGTCTCCGAAGCCCCGCGCGTTCAGGGACATGGAGAAAGCCCTGGGCTTCACGCACGTCGTCCACTTCGCGATGTGCGTCAGGGCCAGCAGGCACGTGAAGTTACCCGTGCCCGAGGAGTGGAAGTCCACGCTGACGGAGGCGGTGCCGAGTGCCCCAGGCTCGGGGCCGAAGTCCCAGTTGCGCGCGTGGAGCATGCCCGTCGGGAGTTGCGCCACTACGCTGGTGCACTCTCCGAGCCGGGGCCCGATGTTCGTGATCTGCATGTGCAGCTGGGCTAGGAAGACCCGAGGCCACGACAGCGCGGCACGCTGCTCCTCGCCCGAGGCGTGCCGGTCCAGCGCCTCCCACAGGACGCGCATCTCGCCGTGGGCGTCGGGGTAGCGCTCCATGTACACCGCCTCCAGGTCCTCCACGTGGGCCTGGTAGAAAGCCATCGTCTCGGCGTCGTGCTGCGCCATTGCCGCCAGCACCGCGCCGTAGAAGTCCAGGAACGGCCTTTCCGCAGAAGGTTACACCACCATCACCACCACGGTGCCTGGCCAGGTCCACCCTGAGGTGGGCATGCTGCGCCATCTGGCCCAGGGTGGACCCTGGCCAGGCACGGCGGTGGTACACAGAGGTGCCCTCTGCTTGGGCGACACGAAAGAGACCCAACCCACTACTCCACGGACCTGTCCTGAGGTACGTTCTGACCGAGATTGTGTGGCGAATCCCGCGGTGGTGACGAGGGCCCTCCAGGACGAGCAGCGGTGTCGGTACCTTCTCTTCCTCTCACTCTGCGAGGCCTCGTCCCCTCTTTCTCCAGGAAGTCCTGGAGTGGCTCCGCCCAGCGCTCGCGCGGAGGCCTCGAGAGGTCGACGCTGTAGCGCGGCGGCGTGCGCGGCGCGCGCAGGCTGCCGCCAGCCGATGCCGCAGCGAGCGCCGTGGCGAGCAGCGCCAGCGGCCTCGTGCAGCACGCCATGGTCAGCACCGGCGCGTGGTGCAAGGAGGCGCCAACTATGCACCTGCACTGGTCCTGGCCTGGCCAGTCCTGGGACCAACATCGATGCACACGCCCTCCCAGCCAATGCAGGAGGGCGTGCGGCAGGCCGGCCTCGTGACGTCCCCGGCGTTGGACTCGGGCGCCGCGTGGCTCGTTCAACCTCGAACGATCGGCGGCTTTTCGGTTGCTCGACATTTCTATACTTTCCGATTTTGGGTGGGGGCCGATGGCGGTGTTCATCCTTGAGCGCCAAAGGCGGGGTCGCCGCCGCGTCGGCACGGCCCGAGAGCGGCCTGGCCTGCATCGGTGTAGGTGTAAAGTTGGCGCCCTCCGATGCTGGAATGAGGTCGGGCCTGTCCCCCTACAGGCCGATTTTCGAGAAACAAATTTAAAGTAGCCAACAAATATTTCGAAATGGCAAACAAAATACGTTGAACATAGTCCCCAGGCTATCTTTTCGATTATTTTTAAGCATTCCTCCTGTAGAGGGACAGGCCCCACTTATTGCTGGGAGAACGGGGCGTCTCTGCGCGACCCGCGCTCGGCGCTCGGGCCAGGACCCTTCGCGTCCCCAGGCCGGCTGCGCAGTGCCCCCTGGGCAAGAGCGAGTGGCTCTTGGTGCGCCGCTTGCCGCTCGGCTCATCTCGGGGGCGCGCAAGCATGGATTAGCAACCGATGGATTTGACGCGCGGTCGCCAAATCCATGGATCGGGGGGCAATGCCCTCCCCAAAACGCGGCCGGAGCCGCCTCGCTCGGCGGCAGAAATCCGCGATTTCCCATGGAAACGGGACCCGCCGCGAATCCACGCCCCCTTGCATGATCCATGCTTTGCGATCACCTGACCGGAGGTGAGGCGGATTCCGGAGGTGAGGGGAGAAGGATACCCGGAGGTGAGGAGGAGGAGGAGGAGGAGGCGCCGGGTCCCGGGGGGGGGGGGGCCCAGGGGTGGTCCCGGGGGGCGGGGGGGGTCCCGGGGGTAGTACTGCTTCATTATAGGGCCCCCACAGCTCCCCGCCCTGGCTGGCCCCGGCTCCCGCCCCGCCGGCCCCGGCCTCGGCCCCGCGGCCCCGGCCCGTCCCAGCCAGCCTCGGCCCCGGCCCCGGCCCCGGCCCCAGCCCTGGCTCCCGGCCCACTCCGGCCCCGGCCCTGGCCCAGGTCCCGGCCCCAGCGCCCTCCAAATCTAACTACACCTCCGTGGCCTCCCAGATGCCCAAGAACCCAGCTTGAAACCAACGAACGAAGCCTGGGAGTCGTCCCAGGAGGGTTCAAGACGCCCCGAATGGTCCTGATAGGCAACCAGCGTCGTCGTCAACACCGTCAACATCCTCGCCACGCGCTACTCGCCCCTGCCCTTCCTTCGTGCCCCCCCCGCGACCCTGCTCGCCTCACTCTCTTCCTATTCATTCCCCTCCTGTGCTCCTACTCCTCCTCATCCGCCTCTTCCTCCTGTCCCCCTCTTCATCTTCGCACCCTCCTCCCCAACCTCAACGTCGGCGGCACCGGCCGTCAAGCCTTCGCAATAAGGAAGGGCTCCCTCCTCGAAGGGCCGGGGGCTTGAGGGTTGGCTGCGGGCGGCCCCCGAGATCCTGGCGCTGCCAATTTCCCACGGCCTGCGCCCTGGCTGTGTTTCGGCCCCTGGGACCACCACGGATAGATCGGGCCAGAAGCACGCCGAAGAAAGACAGGGTCTAAGGCTCCCGTCGCGATTTGTCGCGATGTTGCAACTCTTTCGCCCAGCGTCGGATCGGAAGGACCCCCCCCAGAAGCATTTGGCCGGCAGGCTGGCCTCCAGACACCCAGTCCGAGGCGACCTTGACGCCCTACCCAGGCATCCGATGATCTGCCTCTTCCAGTGCGCGGCCCCAGAGGTCCCGACTCCGTACCGGTTGGGAGCTTCTCGGCCCCTGTAGGTGAGTTTCTGATGGCCACGGGGCCCGCTGGCGGGCCGCGGGCGCCGAACATCGAGGAAGAAGGCACCGGGAATGAAGAAACCATGTCGTCGCAGATCTCGGTCCAGAAGCCTAATCCGATGAGGTCTCAGCGCCCTGCACCGGCGGCGCGCACCAGGGGCGTGGCGCGAGGGCGGCGCCCCACCGAGAAGGAGGCGGGGCGTCTTGGCATAGAAGGGGGCCTTCTTAGAATGGCGTGGGGGGGCTTCTGACAACGCTCCTCAGAGGCCCGGAGGGCCTCAGGGAAGCCCCGCCCCCCCCGCCACTCAGAAGGCCGCCCCCATCGCGCCACCGCTTAGAAGACCGCACCCCTCGGGCCACCCCCTCGTGCGCGCCGCCAACTGGGCTCAAGGGGCCCGGACCCCCGACGTCAGGACTTTTTCATGACGTCGACCCCCCGCAGCCTGGACCCATTCCCCGGGAGCGGTTTTTCGTCCTGAGTCGTGTTTTGACGGCCCCGAGGGCCGGTAAGGGCCCCCAGGGGCCAAAAATCATGAAGAACCTCCCGTCGTGATTTGTTCATAACTCGAGGGGGTCTGGGAGGGGAGCCAGACGGGGGTGGCGCACAGGGGTGCCGAGCCCGCCTCTGTCGACGAGGCCAGCCTCAGGGCGGTCGACCTCCGACGGCTCGAGGCTGTCGGGTCGCCAAGCCCTGGAGCTCTCGAGAGCGCCTCCTCGTACTCCGCGCTTTCCTCTCCTCCCTCCCTGCTTCCTTCGCCTCCTCCTCTTCCTCCTCCTCCCTCTTCCTCCTCCTCCCTCCTCCCTCCTCCCTCCTCCTCCTCCTCCTCCTCCTCCTCCTCCTCCTCCTCCTCCTCCTCCTCCTCCACTTACTCGAATTTTCGCTTGGCTTGTGTTCAAAACTTTGCTCCAGCTAAAGCGCTGGCCTCATTTCCGCAATTCCGCTCGTTCCGAATCGTGTTCCCGCTGCATCGCTGGCCCCATTTCCTGGTGTTCGTATGTGTTCTGATAATCCGATCGATTTCGGCCCGTCGCAATGTTTGCTCCCGCGGCAGCGCTGGCCACATTTCTGCGCCTCTGGTTCTTCCAAAACGTGCTCCCGCTGCAGCGCGAGCGTTTTCGGTTCGTCCAAATAGGCCCCAAATGTGGAAAATTACCCCCTCCCAAAAAACATCGCAAGTGATTACACATCCGGTGTCGATTCGATTAGTTTTTGGGCCGCAGAAGGCCTTCGGGGCGGCGGCGTTTGGAGGAAGTCTTAAGCGGGAGCCCCGTTTCAGAAGGCGATATTGCAAGCAGAGCCAGCGGGTGCTCTCCATCAGCCCCGCCTTGTGGGGAGCTTGTCGCGGAGCCCAGGGAGCTACACTTGGAGCCACGACTCCAGACTGGCCCCGACCCTTCGAAGACGATCCACTTACCCTCCAAGGAACCCGGTGCCCTGCCATGACATGTTATGCGGTGTTCTGTTCTGCGCCGCTGTGCGATGCCATGCTGTGCGTTGCAATGCTTTGTGATGAAATCCTTCACTACGCAAGGCCACGCCATGCTATAACATTCTACGATCTGCCGTGCTCTTCTACGCCATGCCATGCCATGCTCTACAATGCATCGCGCACCCTCTCGCGATCATTGCCCTGCTCAACATCCGACTGTGCGGATAGAGAGGAGATCCAAGCCATGGTAAGGGATGGGAGGGAGGGGTAAGACGTCAGATATGACGCGAGCGCACCTAGCTGTCCCCCTCCCCCTCCCACTCCCCCTCCCCCTCCTCCCCCTCCCCCTCCTCCTCCTCCTCCTCCTCCTCCTCCTCCTCCTCCTCTTCTGCTGCTCCCCCTCCTCGCGCCTCCTTTCTCCTCCCCTCCCCCTCGCCTCCGAGGAAGACGCCGCCCCTTGCCTGGCACAAAGCATGTGCGCCCCAGGGCCGTTTTTTTGACGACACCTCAAGTCAGACACAGCCTCCACGTGGAAGGCCTCTGGAGCGCTTTTCTCACGAGTTGCCCGAGGTCTAGGGGGTAACGCCGTCGCGCACCCCCAAGACCTGCCGTCGAGACCGCCGCGGGACGTTTGGTCCCAGCCAGTGGAGGAGCCCGGCAATGCCAAGGGGGGGTCACCACCAGGCTCACCACTACGGAGGCCTGCCAACTCCCCTTATGATGAGGACGTGCCCCCCCCCAAAAAAAAACGTCCGAACCTTTGGGGCATCTATGGGACACCGCCTTTCTGCCTTTCGCACTCGACGAGCGCGCCACCGACGAGCGTGCCACCGCCCGCCGCCGCGCTCGGCCGCCGCGGCCGCGGCGGTGCACACTCGAGAGCGCGCGATCGAGCGAGCGGCCGGCGGGAGAAGGCGGCGGCAGCCAGAGGCCGCAGCGAACGCGGCAGCAGGCAGGCGGCAGCAAGCCTATAAGACCCTCAAGTCTCCTCCTCGATCCACGGTCCTCCTCCGGAGGAGATGGCGACACCCCTTGTCCCAGACCTCCTCGCGCCGTGCCAAAACACGACTCAAGGTTTTTGTTGGCAGACTGCCCTCACTCCAGGATTCCAAGGCCGTCAAACAAAAACAATCTCGAGTGAACAGCCAGTCGATACCTTCTAGAAAACCCCAAAGGAAACTGCGTAAACGCAATAGCTCCGAGCGTCGCGTGGATTTCTTGAATCATCGCTGGACCTCCCTCTCTGGCAGGCTGAGCGCCAGGGGCGGCGCCGAAAGCGCCGCCAGGGGGGCCCAGCGCCGATCCAGGAAATCTGCGCGGAGCTCCGACAGTCTATGTTCACGCATTGTTCTTCTTCGGCTCCAGCGGTCCGAGCTGTTAAGGAAACGCGGGCGCCAGGGATCCGGGGTAGTGACTGGCACTGCCCTGACGGAGGTCGGGGTGCGACCTGCCGCGGGCGGCGTGGGGCCCAGGTACCCCCCTCTCCTCGGGCGTGTTCGGCAGATGCCTCGGGTCCACCGCTGCGGAGTCCAGGACCTCCTGAGCGGGTTGGCGCGGGGGTTACGGGATAATTGAGGGGGTCGGGAGTCGACGCTCGTTCCAGGGAGTGGCCTCAAGCCCGATCGCTCCGCTCGTGTCGATGCTGCGTCGAACGTCGGTCGGCTCGGGTCGAACTTCAAATGAGCTATAGTCGAACTAGAGTCGCACTGGATTCGACATGTAGTCGAACAGATCGGTTAGGTGGGCCCCAGGGCGGTCCCCCAACCGAAAATCTAAGGAGGAGGAGGAGGAGGAGAAGGCGGAGAAGGAGGAGGAAAAGGAAGATGAGGAGGGAAAGGGAGGGAGGAAGAAGACGAGAAGGAGAAGGAGGAGGAGGAGGGAGGAGGAGGAGGAGGAGGAGGAGGAGGAGGAGCAGGAGAAGGACGAAGAGGAGGCAGGAGGAGGAGAGAGGAGGAGGAGGAGGAGAGGAGGAGGAGGAGGAGGAGGAGGAGGAGGAGGAGGAGGAGGAGGAGGAGGAGGAGTAGGAGGAGGAGGACGAGGAGGAGGAGGAGGATGAGGAGGAGGAGGGGAAGAGGAGGAGAAGGAGGAGGAGGAGGAGAGGAGGGGAGGTTGAGGAGGGAGGATGAGGAGGAGGAGGAGGAGGAGGAGGAGGAGGAGGAGGAGGAGGAGGAAGGGAGGAGGGAGGAGGAGGAGGAGGAGGTGAGGAGGAGGAGGAGGAGGAGGAGGAGGAGGAGGAGGAGAGGAGGAGGAGGACGAAGAGGAGCAGGAGGAGGAGGGAGGAGGGAGAAGGACGAGGAGGAGAAGGAGGAGGTAGGAGAAGGGAAGAGGAGGAGGAGGAGGAGGAGGAGAGCAGGAGGGAGGAGGACGAGGAGGAGGAGGAAAAAAGGAGGACGAGGAGGAGGAGGAGGAGGGAGGAGGAGGAGGAGGAGGAGGAGCAGGTGGAGGAGGAGAAGGAGGAGGAGGAGGAGGAGGAGGAGGAGAAGGAGGAGGAAGGGGGGAGAAGCGGCGGCCTCGGCGACACGCTTTGCCCGGCGAGCTGACAACGTGCCTCTCCGCTCCGAGGGGCGGGAGGCCGGGGCAGGCTCGGGACATTGTCGCTCGGGGGCTGCCCCGTGGGGAGCGCATCCCGCCGAAGCGCGGTGGGCCGGAGCTGGCGGCGCGACGCGCCTAGGAGGAGGAGGAGGAGGAGGAGGAGGAGGAGGAGGAGGAGGAGGAGGAGGAGGAGGAAAGAGGAGGAGGAGGAGGAGGAGGAGGAGGAGGAGGAGGAGGAGGAGGAGGAGGGGGAGGAGGAGGAGGAGGAGGAGGAGGATAAGGAGGAGGAGGAGGAGGAGGAGGAGGAGGATGAGGAGGAGGAGGATAAGGATAAGGACCAGGGGAGGAGGAGGAGGAGGAGGAGGAGAGGAGGAGGAGCAGGAGCAGGAGGAGGAGGAGGAGGAGGAGGAGAAGGAGGATAAGGATAAGAATGAAGCCCTTGGGGGTCTGAATGTCAGCCACGCTGCTTGCTTGACTGACCCCTGGGTGGCGACACAGATGCAGGCCCCCGTCTGCTGGCGATCGGGGGCTGCCTGGTGCGCGCGGCCCCCGAGCCTCTGGTGGTGGGTCGCTGCACCGTAGCAGGGAGACCCTGCCCTGGAGAGCTAGTGCTCAGACGCAGGCGGACTGGGGTGCCTCCCCGTGGAGGCGGGCCCCGCCTGCGGAAGGGGCGGCGAAGAGAAACAGCGGGGAGGCAGATCACGAGCCGGAGGTCCGCGCGGCGAAGGCCAGGGCGCTTATCTTGGAGGCCAGCGGGACACCGTGGGCTTGTTTTCCACCGCCACCACCGTACGTAGGAGAGGGAAGGGGGTCCTCCTCCTCCTCCTCCTCCTCCTCCTCCTCCTCCTCCTCCGCCTCGTCCTCCTCCTCCTCCTCCTCCTCCTCCTCCTCCTCCTCTTCGTCGTCCTCTCGTCCCCCACGTCCGTCCCCCCCTCCACCTTATGGTGGTGGTGGTGGTGAAAAACAAGCCCATCAGGAGGATCAGAGCGCGTGGAGGTCAACAAGATAATGGACTGCTGCAGAGGGGCGCCCACGAGGAAAACGGGTGCGAGAGAGACCCGCCTGGCGTGTACCCCATACCTCGCGCCGTGAAGGTGTTCATGAAGGGTGACCATTCGACGCCTGCGGCCTCTGGGACTGCAGAAAACCACCGGTACCTCTATTCCGTGGACCTCTTCCAGGGCGCGCTCTGACAAAGACTTCGAGGCAAATCCAGCCATGGCAACGAGGGAAGGGTAGCGGTATGTATATCTATATATACATGTAGATATATAGATATTGTCGGTGGGCTCTGACCAGGCTCAAGCACGACCGCCCCGAAACGGCTGGGGATGAAACAACTATCCCTGGGGAAAGTGTCGAGCCCTCTGGTGCTCACGACTGCGTCATGGTCGCAATCGAGGTAGTCGTCGTGGGCGTCGCCGTCGCTGTTGCCTTTGGAAGGCGTCGCCGCCGCGGAGCGCCTCACGCCGTCGAATGACGTCCTCCCAGACATCCGACGATGTGATTTTGTCAAAGCGCGGCCCCAGACGTCCCGCGGCGTTTCGGGCCAATTCTTGCGAGGCGGGGATCTATACATATCAGTAGCCTGGGGAACCGACGTCCTGGGACCCCAGCGGGCGGTGGATATGTATATAGCTTGGCCCCAGGAGGGCCGAATCTGTCCACATCCACAGCCAGCCGAGGGCCCAAGAGATCGATCCCCCAAGCTGTGGTCATGCGTGAATGCCCGCCTCGGCATTCTGGCAGCCCCAGGACGCCCTCGGAGAAGCGCAACTGCCGCAAGGCATCCCAGGGCGGACGAACCTCCAGACACCGACGATAACCCACAGACACCCGCGACAATCTTAGACGTAGAGAAAAATGCCGCCGCCGCCGCTGTGCCTCGGCGTGCGGAAGCTCAAGGCCCCGTGGACAGAGACTCCGATAAAGCAGGACGTTGGCGCGCCCAAGAAGGCTGCAGTCGTGGATTGGAACACTCATCAAGCCTTCACTCTCTCCCGCCGGAATTCAAAGTCCTGCCTTGCAATGTCCGTGTCTCGTGGGCGAGGCTCAATAGGGAGGCAATCGGTGTGGATGGAGGACGAAAGGTGAACCTCTCGTAAGCCTGAGGGGCCCCATCGAAGGCTCCTTCCTTCCTGCAGTCCACGATCCTTCCCCATGTCTGGGGTTCCGAAACGGTGCCGTGACGGACCGTGCGGTGACCTCGAATTCCAAGAAACCTCAGACCGCACGGTCCGTCATCGCACTGTCTTGGGACTCTGGAGGCCTAGTTGCCCGAGGTATCCTCTGTGAACGGTCCGAGCCACAAAACTGTGCCGCCGCCCTGGATCCCCACTGACTCACCACACGGTGTGGTCACTACTCCCATCCCCAGACATCCGACGACCTGATTTTTCCAATGCACGGCCCCAGAGAACACGACCCCTTCCCCTGGGGCAGCTTTCCGCCCGGACCCAGGTATGATGGCCCCGGGGCTCGATGACGGGCCCCAGAGGCAAAAATCAAGGAAAGACGCCAGGATTGAGGCAATCAAATCGTCGAAGATCTGGGCTTCAGGCCAGAACTCGGGCCTCTCCATGAACCGACGAGAATCTCTATGAACCGACGAGAACCCTATGCCAACTTGCGGAAACCTGAACGGAAAACGACATCGCCACTGCTTGTTATTCAAACTTGCGGGCTCCAGACCCCCGAGTCACACAAGAATGGAATCTCTCGAGGCTGTAACTTTTACTTCGCCGCCATTGTAACATCGCCGCCTTCCACCTGCATTCAGCCGCATGCCCCCGAGACTGAGATGTCAACTCCTTCGCCCTTTGAAAGCGAAAGGCCCTTCCCGGAGCGCCGCCAGTACCGCCCCCCATTCCGAAGCACCCGAGACGAGCCTCAAAGCACACACATCATATTTTGCTTGGAGCGATCCCCACCGAAACCTTCGGTGTTTGCTCCCGACGGTGCGCGCGCCTAGTGGCACGATGCGCGCAGGGCCCCGGTGGCATCGGCCAGCGCGGCGGCCAGGCCAGGCTTGCAAGCTACCGCTGCCCAACAAGCCAAAACTCCCAGGCTGTCGTAGGAGGCAGGCTCCTTACGAAAGAAACCGAAACAGGCCCTGGGGTGGAAAAGAGAGCCCCAGGTGCGTGGTGTGAGCGAGGCCCAGTCCCCTTTTTCGGAAAGAATCTGAGACCTGTTGAAAGAGGAGGAGAAGGAGGAGGCTATGTTCTGTTCGCCTGGACTGCGCCCCAATGTAGGACATGACATGCTGTTCTGTCATAAGAGGTTCTGGACGGGCCGGCGTGACGTCGTGACGCCTGTCAAGTTGTTTGCGTCGTCCAATCGGTCGACTCTACTCTACGTGGTTTCTGTCGCCAGCCTTACCACCTCGGAACGCACGTCGTGATTGGTCATATGATAATGCGAAGTGTCCTGCTATGCCATGATAGCCATCTTCACTTTTGTTTGACTCTTCCAATCGGTAGTAGTCTAATACGCCCACCTCTGACACAATGTGATTTCATATGTTATACAATGGTTTGCGCTGTGGCACCATGTTGTGGCATGACCTGTTCTGCCAGCGGATGCTATGCGATGATAGTGTCAATGATGCTCTTGACGTTGTGCCCAGAGCATTGCAGTATCATGTGACCTGGTCCGCTTTGCTATATATCACAGATTAAGTCACAGCCTATGGTGTGATATCAAGACCGTTGCCGTAGCAATAACAGTCGTAAAACAAATATGTGATGATAGGGTGGTTACGTTGTGCTATGTCCATTGCACGATGCTGTATTAGATATGTTGATACTCTCCTGTGCTATGTGAGAATTACGCAATGTTGCAGCATTCGTTGCTGTCGCGGTAGCAAAAATGACCTACGCATGGTATGTTCAACTATGGTCTGCTATTATGTACTCTCCTATGCTATGTCGTACCATGCTGCGCATTGCTATCGTACGTTGTCCCCGATGCTGCGTTAAATCATGATATGTTCCGCCATGACATGTCATTGTTTGTTGTGTTCTGCTCTGGTATGTTCTGCGAGTCTGTAATTTTGTATACCGCGATACGTCATGGCAAGTGTTGCCCTGTTACGGAATGGTAGATCCGGCAATTCCCCACATGCTTCGTGGGGTTATGGTTTTCTTCCCTGCCGCGCCGCACCCGCGACACACCCGCGACACTCACCTCACCCTTCCCCCTCCTCCTCCTCCTCCTCCTCCTCCTCCTCCTCCTCACAGCACTGCGCAGCACAGCTCAGCTCAGCTCAGCTCAGTTCAGCTCAGCACGGCACAGCTGAGCACAACTCAGCTCAGCACAGCACAGCACAGCTCACCGCACATCACAGCACACCACAGCACAGCATAGCACACAAGGCATTCCTTCGACGCCACAGGGGGGGCGCTTGGGGTGGGGGACCTATGCGCTGCAGGCCCCCAGGGCGTGGCAGGCGTGGCATTCCCTGGGCGCCACAGGGGGTGCGCTGGGGGTGGGGGCCCTATGCGTTGCAGGCCCCCAGGGCGAGGCAGGCGTGGCATTGCCTCGACGCCACAGGCGGTGCGCTGGGGGTGGGGGCCCTATGCGTTGCAGGCTCCCAGGGCGTGGCAGGCGTGGCATTTCCTCGACGCCACAGGGGGTGCGCTGGGGGTGGGGGCCCTATGCGTTGCAGGCTCCCAGGGCGTGGCAGGCGTGGCATTTCCTCGACGCCACAGGGGGTGCGCTGGGAGGCTGCAGGCCAGGGCGTGGCAGGGGCCACGGATGGCAGGAGGGGAGAGGAGGAGGAGGCAGGAGGAGGAGGAGGAGGAGGAGGAGGAGGAGGAGGAGGAGGAGGAGGAGGGTGAGGAGGAGGAGGAGGTAGGAGGAGGAGGAGGAGGAGGAGGAGGAGGGAGGAGAGAGAGGAGAAGGAGGAGGAGGAGAGGAGGAGGAGGAGGAGGAGGAGGACGGGGATGTGGGGCAGCAGCAGCGGCAGCAGCAGCAGAAGCTGCAGCCGCAGACGCAGAAGCAGCAGCAGAAGCAGCAGCAGCAGAAGCAGCAGCAGGAGGAGGACACCGAGGAGGAGAAGGAGCAGCAGCAGCAGAAGCACCGATGGTACACATGGGACATAAAATAGGTATGTGGGTTCCTCGGTAGCGTAATTAGTCGTGATGCATGTTCTGAAAATCAATGGTAAGGCTGTGGTATGTTGTATTACGACAGGGTAATATGTTACTTGAGGCTACGTTAGATCACGTGTGGTGTTATGTGCTGTGCAATATGCTCCGCTCTGTCATCGCATGCGGTGTTATGCTATGTTATGATATGCCATGCCCTGTCATGTTATGGTATGCTCTACTCCGCTCTGCTGTGGTACTCTGCCAAGCTATGTTTGCTAATTTATATTGTTTCAGGCCGCGCTCTGACATGTGATGTTCCGTCATGGTATGGAATGATCCGTGTTGTGATGCTGTGATGTGCTCTTATCTGTTCTGTCATAGCATGTCCTGTTTCGCTATGTTCTGTTATGCGCTGACTTGCTATGGCCTGGTATGATGTGATGCGGGGTTCTGCTTTCCTCTAAATGCTCCGCTCTGTCATTGCAGTCGCTGTTGTGCGGTGTCATGTCTTGTTATGCTCTGCCATGGTATGTTATGCTAAGATATGCCACGTTATATCATACAATTGTACGTCATGGTAGAAAATGTGGTGGTAGACTCTGTTCTGTATGCTCCGCTCTGTCACGGCATACCATGTTACGCTGTGTTATATGATGCTAAGGCGCAGTATGACATGTTCTGTTCTGAAGAGGTAGTATAAACTATCCGGTGGTAATAAGAAAAAGTTACGCAACGCTCTGTAATGTTAGGGCGTGCGATGGTACATCATGATATGCCATAAGATGCTGTGTTATGCTATGATGTCTTCTGTGACGGTATGGAATGCTATGCTGTGCTATGGTACGTTATGGTACGCTGCGCCATGTTCTGTCATGGATACGATGTGTGGTGTAAAGCTCCGTGCTGTCCGGTTCTGTCGTGCTCGCCCACGGGGCGCGGCTGGAGTCTCGGGGGACGCTCGAGGGACCCGGGGATCTGGCGCCTGGGGTATGCAGCGTGGGCGGGACGGCGCGAGACGGGAGCCTCGGGAGATTCTCGGCAGACATGGGGATCTGGCGACCGAGGAAGGCAGGGTGGGCGAGTCGGGAAACCTGTTCTTCAAATCTGACGACCCCCACCTGTCGGGTGGGGGAACGCAACGTCAGCGCAGAATCGCGGCCAGAACCCTGGATCCCGTCTCTCTGCCTCCTGTGTCGAGCAGGATCGATCTGTGATATCTTCCTCCTCCTCCTACCCTCCCTCTCCTCCTCCTCCTCCTCCGCCTCCTCCTCCTCCTCCCTCCTCCTCCTCTTCCTCCTCCTCCTCCTCCGCAACCTCCTCCTCTTCCTCCTTCTCCTCCTCCAGGGCCAGAGCACGGGCGAAAACGTCCAGTGCGACCAAACACGCAACGCCCAGATCTCGTGGAAGGTTCTCGGGTCACAACTCGCGCCTCTCGCGGCCGCTCGGGACGGAACGGCCAGCCCTGGACACGCCCGTCGGCGCGGCGCGGCCGCTGGAAGGCAGCCCGAGACTTGAAAACCGCCGAGAACCAAAGCAAGCGCAGCGCCCTCAAACCTCGAATCTCGAACAAAAATCCATCCCGAGAATGGCAACCCCGACAAGCGAAGCCGTTTAGTCAACGTGCCCCAGGAAGGAACCGATCAGGGAAGTGCTGTTAGTAAGCGCCCAGGGCCGTTTCTTAAACGTCAACTGTTGGGTCCGGGTGGTGTTTCCTCCGTTGGTTCAAAGCAAAATTCAACATCGTCCGATTAGAAGAAGAAGAAGCCACGTAAACATGAACTTTTTGGCAAACCGCGCGGAACTCTTGGATCCGCGCCGGACCCCCCTCCCCGGCGCGCGGAGCGCGCCAGGGGCGGCGTCGGAGGCGCCGCCAGGGAGGCCCCAGCGCGAATCCAAGAAATCCGCGCGCAGCGCCAAAGTTTAGGTTCATGTGGTTTGTTCTCCTTCGACCGATCTCAAGGTGCACAACCACACCCCGTCACGGAATCGCCCGAGGGGCGCGCGAGGCGGCGAGCTGCCAGCCCGCGCCGCCGACCGCTCAGAGCCAGAGCGCGGGCCTCTGGCGGCATCTTTCGGGCCGATGCCGGCAGGCCACGGAGCGCCCTTGACGAGGCGCAGCTGCTTGAAGGCATCCCAGGGCGAGAGAGCCTCCATGATAGAAGAGAAAAAAAACTCGCTACGTATAAACAGAAACTTCTGGCGCTCCGCGCGGATTTCTTGGATCTGCGCTGGACCTCCCTCCCTGGCGCGCGGAGCGCGCCAGGGGCGGCGCTGGAGGCGCCGTCGGGGGGGGGGCCCAAGCGCGGATCAGAGAAACCCGCGCGGAGCGCCAAAAGTTTATGTTCATGTGTTTTTGTTTCTTCTTCGAGTTCGGTGGCCAGGCATGGGAGTTGCATGTAGTGACGCGCGACTAAATCACTCATTATGTTAATGCAGCCCACGAAATCCAGCTCGCGACCGTACTGAGTCCCACTGAGTTTCACTAACTACCATCCCTTCTAACAAAATCGCACTAAACCCTCTTCGGAACCCAACACGTCCCACTCGATCAAATGAAACCGTACGTTGAGAAACTCTTTGGGTCGAGCAGAAGCTCCCATACCTGGCCACTTAACATTACGTTCGCCTTTTTTGGGGAGAGCCTATCTTACTATCCTAGCCAAGACGTTGTCGGATTAGCTGCACATGGCGGCAACCACTTAGCGACACATAACATAGCGACACACACCTCACGCCAACCGTCCACCAG